GTGCGAGTAGGAGTTTCACGACTCCCCCGTGCCCTCTCCGAGCAGCACAATGAAGTGGTGTCGAGCCGTTCTTATCTGGTTTGTCGGGATCGGCATCATCCCGTCCGAGTAGTATTTTTACAACTCCCCCGTGCTCATTCCTACCAGCCCACACGAGAGGTGTATTGCCCGTGCAGTCTTTTTGGTTGATGTCACAACCTTCCACCTCTACTAACTTAGCTACAATCTCAATGATCCCGAAGATGGATGCACAGTGTAGACTACTGAACACAGGAGATTTAGTGAAGTCAACGCCATAAATATACGGTTTCTGCGCTTTCAAGAGGATTTCAGGGGATATGTGGTTATCATAATCATCGAACAACTTCAGCGCAAGCGATTTCCCGCGGTCTGAGGGCCTCTTTTTGCGTAGACTCCCCAAAATAAAGAAGAATGTTCGAGAAAGGGTGTTCCTTCTAGATTCGGAGAGGTGCTGAAAGAGAGAGCCTTTATCTGGCGGGAATTCAAATAGCTTAAGCAGGTTTCGGCCATTGTCGAGTCAGCTGTACCGAAGAGCTCGGGATGAGCTAGGAGATAAGTTAAGCGACAGGTGGTTGTTCTTCATCCCCCCCCCCACAAATGCAACCTGCAATAGCGGGTTGACAGATGGAACTATCGCTTACTCCCGAGTAAGTGATAAGCGACTTCTTGGACTCCCTCCGTTGAGCTGGACAGCCGCTTAACAACGCAACGGATGAATGCAATAATGAGATGTAAAGAATTTATGGACGGCTCTCAGATCTCACATTGCCGGCGTACGGCATGGTCATATTGACTCCGGAGATTCACCTCTTCCTAAAATCAACATGGACTTGCGTAGCTAGGCTGCAGAGGTCAACTTCGTAGAACACAGTTAAGTTGTTCGGGTTTTTACCCTCTCCAATCGAGGATTTTTAGGGAGGATCTCCTGGTTTGTATTGATGTTTTCGATTTTTACTTCCTAGGTATGATATCAATTGGGTTAGTGGCATTGCTTCCAAGAGCTGAAGAGATCTTTTCCTCCAAGGGGTGGGCGCAGATATCGGCTCATAGGGGTGGGGCTTTAAATTTTCTCAAGCAGTGAATACAGCCGCTTCCCTTACCGTGCTAGGCCGTGTGTCCATAAGGACCTTCATATTTCTGCTCGGCCCAGAGAATGTGCACCCGCGAACTCAATAACATCCGGAACTAGTAGGGGTCGGACGACCTCATGCTATCACAGGCTCGGGATTCGGGGATTCTGCCTCAGGCGTGAGGAAGACTGGGAAGTACTTATTAATTTGAACAATCTCCGTCTGGAAGCGAATCATGACCCCAAACATTATTTTCGGCACATGTGATGCAGAGTGATCACGGGAGAAACATGGAGGTGAAACGAACAATAACTGCTTGAAGGAAATATCTGTCTAGATAACCAACCTGATGAAGCCTGTAAATGATAATTCCGATAGAAACAAGGACAAACCCAACTTCTCTCCTCCCTACTTGCAGATATGAAAATGCTACCTGGACAAGACTTTTTCGACAACAATGGAAAACAAACCCGGAAGGAAAGGTACATGCGGTAAACGGTTGATATGAGAGAGAACTAGGGAAATGGATAGGTCAATTTTGGAAGGGAGAATTAAACGCAGCCGCGGGTACGGTAGAGGAACCACTAAGTCTATAAGGCGAAGGTGAGGAAATGGGCTCTTTTTTACAAAGTTAGATATATGAAACGAAGAGAAATGGGGAAGTTCGGGGGTGTGTTACCAACACGATATATTAGGCACCTGTATGTATGAAGGGGGCCCATAGGAGAGGGTTGCCTGGCTTAGCATCCCGAACTTTCTTCACAGCATTATAAAAAGCGGTTGAGATGCGCTGGTGGTCGTCTTCGCCGTTTCCTCGATCTTGTAAAAGCAGGTTGTAGAAGTCTCTCGCAACTTCACTTGAGGCTTGGTCGTCTGTTTCCCACATGTTTGCAAATGTGTGACTGAACCCCGCCAGCTGAAATGAGCTGGCTAGGTGTATGACTTCGTCGGCTAACTTAGCGGAGGGGTTTCTAGCTGAGGAGCAGGCCGAAAGGTACGCAATCTGTGCATTTTGTGTAACCAAATTGGATACATCGCGCGCCATGAGCTTACCAGCACTAATCCTATCCTGGTTGAACAGAATGAGGTGGCTGTCAGAGGGGTTGAGACAAGACACTCCGTGGCAGGCGAAGTGGACAATTTCGTTGTACTTAATTCTCTCGAGGACCTCTGCCGGGGTTGGACCACTCAACAGGGTGGGTTCGATTAAACTTTTGGCTGAGGAACTAATTATATATTCAACTTCTTCGCTGACTCCCGGTAGCTCCGGCGCCCCTGGTGTTTCCGGCATCGGAACAAGAAGTAGGCGGGGATTCCGTTGTTTGAGAATTTTAGCTTTCTTAGATCGCTCAGCTGAAAACGAAGAATCGCATTCCTCAAAAAGCTGAAGTTGTTTTTGGCGTGCATAGGAGAGGGCTTTGATTGTTGGGATATATGTTGAGATGGCCCGACTGATAGTGTTACGGATCGACCCTGGTGAATGGTCCCCGGCCGCATGGAAAGGTGCCATACTTAATTGACCAACCCCAATCCACCAAATCCGCTTCAAATTGTTTTCATGAACACCATCGCTCATGAAGACCCCGCTGCCTTCGAGGTGGTCAAAAACAGGCCCTACTGCTACTCTCCATAACCAGAGGAGGAGGTCTTTCATCCCTTTGGTATCCTGACGCCGCTTAAGAAAGGATCCACCTCCAAAACTAGCCAATTGGTTCATGCGGCTTACTGTGTCGTCATAGCTCAATTCTGGAAGTTCTAATGAAGTTATAGCGGAGGTGGTGACAATTATGGCATCGCTCCTATAAATGGTGGTATTGAAGACAACAATGGGACCATTTGTCGCCATTTTCATCAGCGCGTCTCGAGGAGGGGGGAGCAGGAATCCGTCATAGCCGTGTAAACTGCGGATGTGTTTTAAAATTTTCTCCATCCCATTAACAGCGTCATAGCGCCTGGATATCGCACGTGTTTGGCGTGGTTCGGGCGTTTCATCACTTGCACAATTGGTATCATGTATTTCCGAGTCAATCTGAACCCGGAGACTGTTAAATTGGTCGAACTCGAGCGGGTGGTCGTTTTTAAGATCGGAAGCTTCAGATCTTGCGTCGATTGAAAAGCCCATTATAATTCCACGTCCAAGCTCTAGCAACTTAAGACCATGGTAGGCTTCTCTCCCAGCCTGAAGAGCCATGGAAGCAGCAACGGATGCAAGCCCAGAAATTTGCGAGAGTATGTGTTGTTGGTCATCACGTGTTAGGAATCGGAGATCAACATGTGGCATCAAGTTAACTGCATCCTCGAGTATGGAACTTGATTCGGGAAACTTTCTAGCTGAATAGAGTAAAGTAGCTGCGCGGCGAGCCGCCTGAATGCGGCTCCTGGGTGGCGAAGTTACGCAACGGAATGCTTCGTGGTATAGCCTAAGGCATTTGGTGAAGTCCTCGGGGGACTTTAGCTGGGAGAATCGTGATTGTAAAGATTTAGCCAAGCTAGTGCACATGATCGCACGGCGGGGGTGATCTGGAGGAGTAGCAGCTAGCGCCTTTTCGCCGTGACTGATGGCTTTTTGAAGGTCTCCAAAATCTCCTATCCGCTCAAATCTCGTAGACAGCATATTTCCCAGGTTATTATGTCTACCTGCTCGATCTGGGTGATCTAGAGGGGTGGCAGCTAGTGCGTCTTCGCCGTGCTTGATGGCTTTTTGAAGGTCTCCAAGGTCTCCTATCCGCTCAAATCTTCTAGA